TGAGCCACCGCGCCCGGCCCTTTTTTTTGTATTTCTTAATAGAGACGGGGTTTCACCATGTTAGCCAGGATGGTCTCGATCTCTTAACCTCGTGATCCGCCCGTCTTGGCCTCCCAAAGTGCTGGGATTACAGGCTTGAGCCCCCGCGCCCGGCCCAAAAGATCTACTTTTATAAAGTCAGAATCTGCTCTCTAACTTGCCTGTAACTTAAGTGATGTATTCCTGAAGAGCTGGGTCAGGAGGGAAGATGCTAGAACTGAGACACACGCAACCAGTTACACAATCACAGCTATAAATGTATCACATAAAAAACCTCAGCCGGGCCAGTAATCCCAACACTTTGGGAAGCCGAGGTGGGCGGATCACCTGAGGTCAGGAGTTTGAGACCAGCCTGGCCAATGTGGCGAAACCCTAACTCTTCCGAAAATACAAAAATTAGCAGGCATGGTGGTGCATGCCTGTAATCCCAGCTACTAGGGGGAGCTAAGGAAGGAGGATCGCTTGAATCTGGGAAGCAGAGGTTGCAGCGAGCTCAGATCATGCCACTGCATTCCAGCCTGGGCAACAGAGCTAGACTCCGTCTCAAAAAAAACAACAAAAAACAAAAACAAAAAAAACCTTCTCCCCGGCTGGACGCTGTGGCTCAGGCCTGTAATCTCAACACTTCGGAAGGCTGAGGCGGGTGGATCACCTGTGGTCAGGAGTTAAAGACTACCCTGGCCAACATGGCGAAACCCTGTCTCTACTAAAAACACAAAAATTAGCCAGGCATGGTGGCACATGCCTGTAGTCCCAGCTACTTGGGAGGCTGAAGCAGAAGAATTGCTTGAACTAGGGAGGCAGAGGTTGCAGTGAGCGGAGATTGCGCCACCACACTCCAGCCTGGCTGACAGGGCAAGACTTCATCACAAACAAACAAACAAACAAACAAACAAACAAAACAAACACCTTTTCCCCTGTATTCTTGGTCAGGGATGGCCCATTCTGGTTAAGCCATATTCACACCTGGATTTGTTCAGAAAAATGTCTACTGTAGTGGGGAAACATCTCATTCCTCCCTTTACATCTCTGCATTGGGCATCTCTGAAGCCTTTCTTGGGCCACAGGATAGAGGCCAAGCAGATGGTGAATGAAGGCCTGCCCTCCTTTACGGGTGCAGTTGTTCTCGTGTTCACGTCATTTCCCTTTGGACTGCCTCTTACTAGTGGGACCCTGCCAACCACACAGTGCTCCCTGCTGCAGCATATGCTGCACCAACATGGGTAATCAATGCAACCTAACTGTACTGAGCATTTGACGTAGACACTCTGCTTTTGTATATTAAGCATCACATTTTAAGAGATAACAGATTCAGAAAGAAACCACCCCAAACAAGTCCAGAAATGACTAAAGACTTAAGACAAGCTGAATATTCAGAGAAAGGCACACCAGAAAAGGACACAACATATTTCATGCTCTCACAAAACTCCTGAAAACAATAATTTGCAAAAGAGTCCTTACCTTCCACGGGGAGGCTGTCTTGGGATCAGTTTCATCCTATTCAGAGAAAGAGTAATTTAGGCAGCCATGCAATTGAGCATGAAACAACAAAGCACCTGACCTTTCCAGTTAATGACTCTAGTTTCCCCCAGGGGAGATCCCAGATATTAATACACTAATCAAAACAGCATTCTCCCTCCATAGTTTGGCTGGTAACAAACTTCAAGGCTACTTAAGAAAAATTAAGCCAACAAACAGGAGAGACAAATTCCAACTTTTTATCCAGTAGAAGAAATGGAGAGAATAAAGAAATTTAATAAGAAAACCACCAACTTTTCTTTATGTTGTACTCATAAGATTGTCTGCAAAGGGGTAATAAACAAACCTAAAGATAGCTATAGAAGAAGTTTTAGAAAACTGAAGAGGTAAAGACTTTTTTTTTTTTTTTTTTTTTTAAAGAGCTGCGCTTTGTGTTGCATGCCTGTTGTCCTAGATAATTGGGAGATTGAAGTGGGAGGATTGCTTGAGGCCAGGAGTTCGAGGCTGCAGTAGGCTATAACTGTAGCTGTGAAAAGCCACTGACCTCCAGTCTGGACAACAAAGCAAGACCCTATCTCTTACAAACAAAACAAACAAAAAAACCCAACATTTAGAAATCAATTTCTGGGCCAGAAGTGGTGGCTCACGTCTGTAATCCCAGCACTCTGGGAAGCTGACGTGGGCAGATCACCTGAGGTTGGGAGTTCGAGTCTAGCCTGGACAACATGGTGAAACCCCGTCTGTACTAAAAATACAAAAATTAGCTGGGTGTGATGCCACACGCCTGGAATTCCAGCTACTCAGGAAGCTGAGATGGGAGAATCGCTTGAACCTGGGAGGTGGAGGTTGCAGTGAGCCAAGATCACACCACTGCACTCTAGTCTGGGTGACAGAGTGAGACTCTGTCTCAAAAAAAAAGAAATCAATTTTTGGTGTTTTCCACAAATCTTTACACACAAAAGGCATCGGAGGTTAAGGAACAGCAATTCTGATGAAGTTCTTGGCCTGGATATTCTTACCAAAGTTTAAACCCTTCTCATGTTCAAGATCCACACACAGTACCCGAAACTTACCCTGGGCATCATGCCATACACTTCCTACAAGGAGAGAGAGAAACCAGTTTTATTATTAGAAGAAATACACATCTCTCAAGAATACTCATTATGGTCAAACCTGGAAACACAGGAGAGAATTCCAAAAAGACAAATGGAAATGCCAGTCCAAATGTCCAGCAGAACTTCAAGTATTTATACATAAACCTTTTCTTTGAGGAACTTATGAAATTACCATTAGTTAATGGCTATATAAACATTAAATATTTAATGGACTTACGGAGAAGACAGACGACCCCCCAGAACCAAATAGAGATGAGGGATATTGGTATAAAGAAGTTAATCAAAATGGTTTTGGTCACATAGAGGACCTGACCTACAGTCAAGCCACAATTCTGTGCTATGAAACACTGCTTGTTGGGCTATGACAGACATAGGAAGAACAAAACTGCATCCTTACAGCAACAGAGCCTCACTCCAAGATGGAGACACCTACCTGTTGTTGCACAGCCTGCACCTCCTCTGCCATAAGACCTTCAGACTCCAGGTCTTCAGCTACCTTGTTAATGTCCTTCAACCGTGACTCATTGGCCTTCAGGTCCTTTAAAACAAAAGCCATAATAACTAAAACCCAAAATAGCAAGCCAAAGTCAAAGGAGACATCGCAAACTATGGCTTGAAACTATAATGAGTCTTCTACAAGGGCCTATTTAAAAAAAAGGGATTAAAAAACATAAGCTATGGCCAGGCATGGTGGCTCACGCCTGTAATCCCAGCACCTTGGGAGGCCGAGGTGGGCGGATCACCTGAGGTCGGGAGTTCAAGACCAGCCTAACCAACATGGAGAAACCCTTTCTCTACTAAAAGTACAAAATTAGCTGGGTGTGGGGGCCTTTGCCTGTAATCCCAGCTACTTGGGAGGCTGAGGCAGGAGAATCGCTTGATCTTGGGAGGCAGAGGTTGCGGTGAGCCGAGATCGCACCATTGCACTCTAGCCTGGGCAAGAAGAGTGAAACTCCATCTCAAAAACAAAACAAAACAAAAAGGCCGGGTGCGGTGGCTCACGCCTGTAATCCCAACACTTTGGAAGGCCAAGGTGGATCACAAGGTCAGGAGTTCAAGACCAGCCGGGCCAAGATGGTGAAACCCCGTCTCTACTAAAAATACAAAAATTAGCCGGGCACGGTGGCAGGCGCCTGTAATCCCAGCTAATCGGGAGGCTGAGGCAGGAGAATCTCTTGAACAGGTGGCGGGAGGTGGGGGGCAGAGGTTGCAGTGAGCCGAAATCGCACCACTGCACTCCATCCTGGGCAACAGAGCAAGACTCTGTCTCAAAACAAAACAGAAACAAAACAAAGAAAAAAAGCTATAAGGATCTGTTCAACAGGTATCCCTATGGATTGGTTTTCCCAGCCCTCAGATAATTATTGGACTCGAATTTACTTCATTAACTGTAGTTTTTTCGTTGTTTTAGAGACAGGGTCTCGCTGTCACCCAGGCTGGAGTGGAGTATTGCAATCATCTGCAGCCTCTACCTCCCAGGCTCAAGCAATCCTCCTACCTCAGTCTTCTCAGTAGCTTGGACTACAGGCACACACCACTATGCCCAGCAAATATTTTTATCAAATAGAGACTTTTTTAAAACCTCTTTTTGGTTTCAAAACAGTTTTTAAAATGTGAAGAGGCCAGGTGTGGTGGCTCACACCTTTAATCCCAGGACTTTGGGAGGCCAAAGCAGGAGGATTGCTTAAGGAGTTCAAGACCAGCTTGGGGCAACATAACCAGACCCCAATCTCTACAGAAATTTTTTTTTTCTTCTAATGAGACTCAGTCTCACTCTGTTGCCCAGGCTGGAGTGCAGTGGCATGATCACGGCTCACTGCAACCTCCGCCTCCTGGGTTCAAGTGACCTTCGTGCCTCAGCCTCCTGAGTAGCTGGGACTACAGCCAGGCACTACCACGCCCAGCTACTTTTTGTATTTTCAGCAGAGATGGGGTTTTACCACGTTGGCCAGGCTGGTCTTGAACACCTGACCTCCAGTGATCCGCCTGCCTCAGCCTCCCAAAGTGCTGAGATTACAGGCATGCGCCGCTGGGCCCAGCCAGAAAAATTTTTTCAATTATAATAATGGATGTGAGGCAGGGCGCGGTGGCTCAAGCCTGTAATCCCAGCACTTTGGGAGGCCGAGATGGGCGGATCACGAGGTCTGGAGATCGAGACCATCCTGGCTAACACGGTGAAACCCCGTCTCTACTAAAAAAATACAAAAAA